CCCCAAAACCCCAAAACCCCAAAACCCCATCTTTATTAAACTTTATTGAAATTCAAATATTCTTATACAGCTAAGCTAAGGGGCTGACTGGCCCAGACAAGGCTAGTTGGCAACCCATAGTAAAGTTATGGGTTGCGGATTATATAACGGAGCTGACGATCCTTCAAAATTTGAAGGTCAACTGGAACAACAAATAGATCGACGATGAGTTCAAGAAGGAAGAGGATAATATTAACTCTAAGAGAAAGGTGTTCGATAAGAGCCAAAATAAAATGATAGAAATTGATGCTACACAGAATAACAGAGAGTTTGACTTCTTTGAAGGTGCTGATGCTGGAGCTGGAGAACAATTCATGGCTATCAGACCTTACGAGGGAGCTATCGAAGATCCAGATGTGCACAATAATGTTAACCATGATGCTCCAGATGTTGAATATGAGCTTGAATACGTCTATGGATACAGAGCTGAAGACATCAGAATGAACTGCTTCTATAATGCTGATAAAATACTGTTTACTTCATTGCTGCTTTAGGTGTGATTCTTGATCAAGGATCCAACAAGCAGAAATTCTTCGGAGGTTGTCAAGTAGACAATGCTTCCAAGAAAGTTGCTAGAGATTAATTTGGACATAAAAATGATATCACCTCCATGGATGTCTCAAGTTGTAGAAAGCTTGCCACCACCAGACAGAATGGGTCTAAATCAGTTGTTTTAGTCTGGGACTCCTCTAGTGGAGAAAAGAAAGCTAGGTTCAAGCTTAAGAAGGGAGGAAGAGAGATCACATCCATTGCTATCTGTCCACAAGGAAAAATGGTATCCATGACTTACAACAGCAATGACCACAACTTGTCTGTTTATGACATTGCTACTTAGAAGAAGGTTGCTGGTGATAAGACCAGTCCAGACCGTATCTATCATATCTCTTGGTCCAAGAAAGAAGGTGAGGCAGTGATTGCTACTGCAGGTTGCAAGCATATTGCTCACTGGGATCTTGACAACAAATTCAAAAAGAAGAAGGGAGTCCATGGTAGTGCTGGTAAACCAACTTCCCATTGTGCTGTCACTAGGGATGACCAAGGTAACTGCTACACTGGAGGTGCCAACTCCAGGATCTACCACTGAGAGTTCGAATCATGCTTCCAACTCCAGAAGACTTATGATGTCCACGGTAAAGGTTTCTGCTGCTCCATTAGATGGTGTGATGGAAAAATATTTCAGGAGCTAAAGATGGAAACGTTGTCATCTCAAATCTAGAAACAGGAGAAGCTGAGAGAACAATTGATGTAGGATGCTTGGTGAGATCTGTGTACATGGATGGATCAAACATCATTGCTGGGCTTAGAAAAGGAAACATCATTGAAATTAACTCTGGAGGCAAAATCACTGAGATCATGAACTCTCATAGTGATGGTGAAGCTTGGGGACTTGATATTGATTCTTCAGGTACCATAGTAACATCAGGAGATTACAATCATCTCTACTCTTGGAGCATCAAAGACAGAAAGAGCACTAGCCATGGCGAAATTTATGATGAATATGATGGACCTAAGAAGAATGGAGCTAGCTCATTGACTTCATATGCTGCAAGCAAGTGCGCCAGAGCTGTTGCCATCAACTCTACAGGAAACGGAGATTTTGAGATGTTTAGATATTGTATGTCTGTATTAATCATGTTTAAGTGTCCGGTGTTGTCTAGACAAATCTCGATACAATGAATGAATCTCCATAGCAATGATGAAACTCAATATAATTTTACTGGCTCCTGTTAGTCATTTTTGTATCTTAAAACATCTAAATAATCTTCATGGTCTCATATTCATCATTAAGAAACTCTAATTGTGCATAAAAACTGATGCCCAACTCCCAATGATAAGACTATTTCCCGCTTATTTATTGAGTTCAGAAAGTTTAAGAACACCCAACTATGAAGACACTTTTTGGGTACCTAATTCAACCAAGATCTCTGTGTCAAAATGATTTTCAGTTTTACTTTAGATTGGAGATAAAAATATGAAGAGCTTTAGATTCATTAATAATTGTTTTAAAAGTAGACAAGTTGCTGTAAATCAAAATGACCGAAGAGTAATCATCAGAGCCAAAGCCGGTGTTTTTAGACCATCTGCCACATACTCCACTACAGTGACGAGTGGATTGAGGCTGTCGCCTACTCTCCATGCGAATGAAAGTTGGCTGTGGGATTACATTACGAAAAAATCTGTGTGTACGATGAGAGAGACCTCAGGCTGATTGGAGAGAAAAAAATCCCCATAACTCGTTCATTGGTTTAGTTGACCGGAGTGAAGATCCATCATACATTCATTCTGTATGCGGAGCTCATGAACTTCTCTTCTTTAAAGTCTCTGATGACGGTGTCGAACAAGACCAAAGCGGAGCCTCTAACACTAAAGGAATTAAACGGCACACAAGCCATGCTAAATACGGTTGGCTCGTAACTAGAATTTTCACAGCTGGAACTGAAGGTACTCACACCAATGATGTTGATTTCTCCCACTGTGGTGGATTGATTGCCACTGGTGATGATTATGGACTAGTAAACGTGTGGAGAAATCCAGCACGTAAGGGAGCTAAGCTTATCTCTCTAAGAAGTCACTCTGAGCATGTCTTCAGAACAAGATTCACCCATGATGATTCCCTCATCATTTTATTGGCAGTTACGACAAAACTATTATTCAGTTGAAGAAGAAATAAGATTTCATGATGATAATAATAGTTCAACTAATCTTCTAAATTTTGGGGTTTTGGGGTTTTGGGGTTTTGGGGTTTTGGGG